ACTCCCACGTAGTCGACCGCGGTTCGCGTCCTGGACCCAGTGGCTTAAAACTCATGCCGAATGCGTGTGCGTGCGTGCCCAAGATCCCGAGAGGAGAATGGAGGAGAAGGGATTGCGGCGTGACCATCCCCCCTGGGAGGTGATTTCTCACTTTCTGTCTCTCTCTGTCTGTCTGGCGAGCACACGCGCCCTATAGCAAAAAACTCTCCAAACAAAAGAACTATGGAGTTGGAGCAAAAATTTTTTGATATGGAAAGTAAATGTTTGTGGGAAAGTGTAAAAATAAATTATTAGAAAAAAGAAGAAGAAGAACTAGAAACACAGAAGGATGTGGGAGGCAGGGCTGCCCATTTCCCTGGTCTGCTGACCAGTCAGCAACCTCAGGGTGACTCACCTCCAAGTGACCAGTAAGCCTTCCCTCCTACGTCTTGGTAATAACCAGACACCCATGATCATGGCCCATTATCTATCCAGCTCCATTTAGACATGAAAAAGGAAGGGAAGTCCCTTGTAGCCCTAATGACTCTTTGACAAAGAAGGAATATCACCAAATTTAACTGCATATTTAATTACACCTCCATGTCTTTATAAAACAAGGAAAGGTGTGAATATACAAGACGTAAATCAATAATAAGCTATTTACTCTCAGTACATCACCCTTCCTTTTCCCTAGTCCCATCCACTGTTGTTGCGTCATTTCGAACTCTCTGATAAACATCTAAGTTTTACTCTTCACAAGGCAAGAAATAGCATATGGTGAAATAATAAGTGGAAGACGTGAATGAGACAAATCTTAACATGTTCCCTACTTAATGGATCTAGGACAAATCACCTTATAATCTGAAAGAAAAATGTTACTCTTCACTTTGAGAAATTCTTTTATTTGCAAGCTTGAAGGCTTTTACCTTTTTCAAAATGCTCAATTTACAATTTCTCAAGAATCTATACTTACTGGCTAGAGACATGGCAATCTAAAAATGTCAATTGCTACAACATCTTTAATTGTGTCTAGACCCAAAACACCCAGTGCTACTACCCCAAAGTATTTCCATAATAGCATTTTTAAAATTATTTGATTTGGCAAGCCTCTGCTCAGAGCTTGGGCTTGCAGGACATTTGCAATGGAGCTCATTTTTGTAGACGATCACAGTACAATTACCCTTATCTGCAGTATTGCTTTTCGTGATTCCAGACTCCCATCATTGACTTTGGTCTGAAAACATGTGAGTACAATATAATATTAGAGAGACACCACACATGCGATATATATTAATTGTCCTATTTTATTTGTTGTTAATCTCATACGGTGCCTAATTTATAACCTTATCGTAAGTATTGTACAAGGAAAAAAAGGTATGCAAGAGTCCTGTATTTATGTCTAAGAAAACCAATAGTCTACAATACTATCTGTGGTTTCCAGCATCCACTGAGAGTCTTAGAATGTATTCTTTGCAGATGAGAAGGGACAACCAGACTTCTTTTAATCAGGCTCCCAGAACACAGTATACTAAAGTGTGTGGAGCTGAAACTTAAAATATCTGTGGGCCAGCTGGCGGTGTGGTGATTAAAGTAGTTGGGTCCCATATATCTGGCTGAGTTGTTAAGGGTCCTGGACCTGACGGCTTGTGGAACATGCCGGGAATAATACGTTTGTGCCCAAAATTCTAAGAGAATAGAGGACAGGAGACTGCCGTGTGATCATCCCCCCACTCCACCCACCCAGGTGGGGGTGCTTTCCATCTATCTCTCTCTGTCTCTGCCCTAGAGCAAATTATTAATATTAGGTTATCAGGAAATCATGACATATTGTTTTTCTATGCAAAAATGTGTCATGACTTTCCCAACATCCCAATACAAATACATAATAAAAATCCCCAAGTGATAAAAATGCAAAACTGACACAAAATTTTAGATACGAGAACTTCAGGCTTACACTGGGCTCTTAGTTAAAATCTAAGATTCCCGGAATTGAGTGCTTCTCTCTTCTGCTTTGAGGGGTAGGCCACTGGAAAACAGAGTGATCAGGCTAAGGCTTGGCCGGGAGCTCACGGACTCCAGCTTGGAATTTGTTCATCCCAATGTGTCACCTCCAAGCTCTGGCATCGGTTCCACAGAAAAGCAGGATAGCATTCGAGTGCACAATAGTCACTGAAGATGTGCTTGAAAGTCAAATTGATACATGTATTTATTTATTTATTTTAAATTGATCCATTTCAAACAGCAGACTTACAATTGCAAGGAAAAGTTTCTATCTTGGAAAGCAAAGAATTATTCCCAAACTCCCATTCAAGACATTCCTCCCCTGCTTGGAGAACCCTGTTGGAACAGAACCTTCATAGACCCTCTGAGAATGAAGTAACTGTGAGCACGCAAGGGGGTGCCCACTGGGTCCCACATCTCTTACCCTGCAGATGCTGGGGTGGAAGATTAGATTATGAGAAACATGGATGGAGGTCTGTGCTTCCCCTGAGGCTCCCCAACCAGCTGCTGCCCCAGCAAGCAGTCAGCAAAGGCTCCTCACCTCTTTGGCTGAAGTCCACACTCTCTCCTAAAGGCCAAGTGGAACCTTTGATCATCTGAAGTGCTAGCTGCCTGGGTGATGGGAAAACCTGACTACAGGAAACTTACAAGGGGGTGTTTGGTGCCATGTGTAATACCTGAAAGGGTGGAGAACGGCAGGGGAATAGTCATGTCCTCTCCCATGATCTTACTGCCCAAGCCCCCTAACTTGCTATGATGAAATTGGAAAACTAGGAGGGTGACTTACTAACTCTTCTCATGGTCGAAAAACATCAGTAACTCCAAAAGATATGATTAACAACAGCGATTCTATTTTTTCTTAATATTTTTTCCCCCATAGTGTGTGTGCTCATCAGAGACAGTGACAGGGAAAGTGAGAAATCGTCCCCTTGGGAACCAGCGGTTAGCGTAATGGCTATGTTGCTGGATTCGCACGTAGTCGACCGTGGTTCGGGTCCCGGATCCAGTGGCTTAGAACTCACGCCGGGTGCATGTGCGTGCGTGCCCAAGATCCTGAGAGGAGAAAGGAGGAGAAGGGATTGTGACGTGACCATCCCCCCTGGGGGGTGATTTCTCGCTTTATGTCTCCATGTCTCTCTCTGTCTGGTGAGCGCACAAGCCCTATAGTGAAAACCTATCAAAAAAAGAAATCATCCCCAGGGTGTGGGTGGGGTGATAGCCATGCTGCAATCTCTTCTCCTCCATTCTCTTCCTGAGATTTTGGGCAGGCATGCACATGCACTCAGCATGATTTTCAAGCCACCAGGTCTAGGACTCGACCATGGCTGACCATGGTTGACCATGTGGGAGTCCAGTGTCTTAACTACTATGCCACCTGCTGCCCCCAATAACAGCAATTCTAATAGTTGCATTTTATGAGTACTTTGTGCTAGGCATTTGTGGCTCCAGAAACATCCTAGTACCAGCCTTGTGTTAGAGGTAAGAGAGTGAACTTTCTCAACATCCTTAGCAGCAACAGTGGGGGCTGATGCGCAGGGAAGTCCGTATTCGGAAGCAGTGTGCGCGTCATCTCATGCAGAATCCTCTCCTAAGTTTTAGGCTCCTTTCTTCTCTGCCTACCAACATGGACCAGTTACATAAAACATTATGAGCTTGAAGGCTTGTGGATTAACTTTCCTGATGAAAAGGAGTACCCTTTGTCACTGTAGCCTCAACCTGGCTTTTCAATATTTAATGCACTCCAGGGGTTGCCGTAAGTTATGCAGAGCTTAACAGTGAGTTTAGTAATGGGGCCAAGTTGTAGCTGTGGACTGGCTGTACCAGGAAGACGGTCTTCCTCATGCTACGTTTGCTCATAAACTGCCTGAGGTGCCAATCTAAGAGAAAAATCAGGTCTCTAAGCTAAGGGCTGGCTAGTCCCTTTTTCTTTCTGATCACCTGTAGAGGAGACATCCAGGTGTCTAAAGTGTTTCCTCAACATAGCCGCCCTGAAGTTGTCTGTCCCATCACTGGACTAGAGGAAGGTTTTGAAGGTGGCGGGTCTCTTCGATTCCCTGCAGGACATGCACCCCTCTGCCTGCCCCGGCCATGGCCGCCTGGTAACAGCTCCTTCCCTGGAAGACCTACCCGCTTTTAGCTCCATCTTGCCCTTGGTGCGACTGGAACCTCAAACAAAGGGACTGCCATAAGGAGCAGCAATGAGGACAGGAACAAGGCCTCGTTAGAGGGAAGGAGCCTCAAGGGGAATGAAAATTAGTGACTGACACGCAATGATCAAAGGCCCAAGTACATGGCCGAAAAATCACCCTGGGAATGGAAAGGAAAAGAATCCTGAGGTAAAATCCTTAGAAAAGGTAAAAATCTGTTACTTTATACTGCTACTCTAAATTTATATGTAGGTATTGCTAAGAAGTTGAAATAATTAGCAGTCAAGTGGCAAATCTTCCTGACCAACACAATCTTTCCATTTCATATTCATTTGAAAAAAATATTCCAAGTGCATTTCCACTTTTACATGCTCTATGAACTGAACACAGTACATTTCTCGTTCTTTCATCTGAATGGGGAATGTCTGACCAAACTGAATGAAATCACATCTTTTCTTCTTTCTTTTGTCAAATTATTTATAATCTGTGTAAACTTTTAAAGAATGAAGTACAATACAGGCTAAATGGATTGAGTTTTCACCTGTAAGTCCATTTAAAAAGCAAGTATAATCTAGAAAGAACGACAAGGCTGGCCCCATATTAGATAGAGTGGTTAAGGAAGCCAGATCCCAAATGGCTAACCGAGATTAGAGTCCTGTCATCACAGCTTGAAGAACATGCAGGACACATGCATATGTTCAAACTCCTGATGGGAAGGAATGGAAGAAAAATTATTGCAGCCTGACCATACCTCACTACAAGGTACTTTCTCTCTCTGTAGAATGCATGTACTCTATGGCAATTAAGAACAAAAAAAGGCTAATGGTATATTTTACTTTAATCAAATTAAAGCCAGGAATATAAATACTCTGGTTCAATTTTTTTTCTTTTTTAATTTCCCAAATATCACTTTTCTGCTGCATTTTAACATTCATATGTTAACACACTCATTCTGGAAAAGCATCTGATTACAAATAAAAGTATCCGTAAGTCTTTAAGCACCATTTAAATAGGAAGATGCCAATGTCAAATTTCTGATTTTAATAAAGGAAATTCTTAACAACATTAAATGAGCACTGTTTTACTTAGAATGCTGGTTTTAAAAAGACCTGAAAACAAAAGGTGGTACAATTATTGCTTCCAAAGTTAAATTGGCACCAAACAAATGGCAGAGTTGAGAAAAAGCAGTTACGTGACCAACCTTTATCACGTCTTTCAACATTTTACGCAACTGTAAAAGCCATCCTTTTACAGTGTTTGCAATAAAAGGATGTCCTGCCATCTAGATACTTAAATTCTATACATGTTAAGATCTATCCGGAAAATATTGCTATGTTTAACCACAGCAATGATTTCATTTTTTCCATATTAGCTAGAATAATAAATGCTCGAAAAACATTAATGTGAAGTTCTGTAGGTATATTACTTTGCCAGATAATACAAAAATTCACAATGCAAAACCAACAGTATTTATTATTATTTTTAAAAAAGTAACATTTATTTTACAATCCCTGGAATTGTAAAATAGCTATTCATTTTTTTACATAATTGAGGGAAGTATTTTAAATGTCAAAATATAAGCACCAAAAATCCAAAAAGTTTACAAAAACGATTTAAATGTATAAGGTGCATTTATTCATGGATTACATTCCATTTGAGGACACAAACAATATCCCAATGCTCATTATCTTTAAGAAATATGTCAATTGTTTCTAACTTGGTCTACAGCAAAATCACAAATACTCCTCTTAGGCTTTTTATACCAGCCATCTAGAATTTAGGCTCAAAATTTAAGTGCTGCCTTATACTGTGAATGGCAGTTTGATCACTAAATTTATGTTCTAGTTTAAGATTCTTTATATACAACACGTATTTAATGGCTGGAAAAAAATTAAATTAAAAAAAGTCATTTAGTGAACATCTAAAATTCACCCCAAAAAAGTAAGATCTCATATATTTTAATACAGGTACGAAGTCACTTTGGGTCAAATTAAATCATTTTAAAACATGTACCAGTCCACTCAGTAAATTAGGACTTTTCCAAATATGCCATTATAGCTTCGGACAATAATTGCTGTCGTGAAGTCAGATGAAGTAAATACACAATTTCTTGGTTTACAAATCAAAATGACAGTGACAGTAAAGCATACCTCTTTCCAAACCTCTTGGTCAATGCTGAGAACACTTAAATAAGGAAAATATATGCTGGCGGTGCCCTCGAAGTCCTGACTTAGCTGTCCTGACGCCTTGGGGAAGGTGAGGAAGGGGACTTGGCCTGGGAACCCAGGTCCGTGGAGCTACGTCAGCCTCCCTCTAAGTAGCTTATACAGCGGGGTACTCACACTGCTGTCACAACGTCCAGCGTGGTCCTGAATGCCACCTACATTTATATTTACCGTGTACAGTGGAAAAAAAAACCATTTTTTTTTTGTTGTGCTTTTCATGTACCTGACATAAGTTTTCATAGCAAACATTTTATTTCTCGGTTTTTTGGGAAGAAAAGAAAAAGACTAAGAAGAGAGAGGCGCATCGGAAGGGTTGGGGTGTAGAGCGATACCACACATACAACTAGCCAAATCTCTTTTTAATTTAAAAGATACTGTCATCACAAGGCAATATACATATATGTATATATAAAAGAAACCCAAGTCTTCTCCCTAAAACCCATATTATTCCATGATAGATTTTCACAGCAACCAGTATATATATCAATACATTTTTCACAATCTGTTCAGTTATCCACGGGGTATGCTTTCAGAGTTACCACTGCCGTCTCAACACTGTACTTTCAGGGAAGTGTGCTTCGAGATGGCTCGGTGATGTGCTCCTTATGATGACTATTTACAAAGATAGCTATTTATGTTAGCAATAAATAATCCTGATATCAAAAGAGATAATGCTCATGCACACACCGAGATGGCTGCATGCTCTTAAAATATTTACATGTAGTTTCTCCTCTGCAGCTCTCCCATGAAGAGCGAAAGTGCGCTTCCTTCCGTTTCCTTCAGTCTTGTTTCTGAGGGATGCATCCTTCCATTTCTACAACTTCCGGCCACCCTTCATATTTGTTTGTATCCTTATTGTTCTTGATGTGCTATTGAAACACAGTAACAGTACACAAGTTTAAAACCTTCACTCTCATTCCAGTAACGCTCAAGTCAATCAAAGATGAGTTTATATAAATCACTGCTCATGAGATCAAGTGAGCGACCCTCAGGGCCTGGAAAATTTTTAGCAGACCTTATTTTAAATAATTGATTACCAAGAGCTTATGAAAACATATGAACATATTTAATATTTGCTTTATCTAATTTTCAAATACACTGGGTGCATTCAAACTAGCTAAAAGAGATTGTCAATGTTTTCACACAAAGAAATAATGAATTATTTAAGGTGATAAATATGCTAATTAGCCTGGTTTGACTATTCCACAATGTGTACGCATATTTAAACACCACACTGTACCCCATACATGCAATTATTTGTCGATTAAAAAGCAAACAAAATCCAAATAACTGGGAAGAGAATATGTACTTTAAGATTTCACACAACTTGTTTTTGTTCCTTAATTATAAGCGTCTAAGACACTGACCTGTTCAAAAGGGCTTTTTGTCTTAATTCCTTTTCCACCACAGAAGACCCAATTGTCTCTAAAACCAAGATTAGTAATAGATGTACTTCCCAATTCGGCAATGAGTCGCCGGGCCTCATCGTTGAGTCTTAGAGAGGGAGAGAAAGAACACGACAATAAACACAGGGTACTTTTATTTAACATCGATTCACCTAGGCTATTTAACATGAGCGAAAATGGGAACATGTCAGCTTAAATGAGAGAACATAAAGAACAAAGTTATTTTTGAGAGTAACATCCCTATTATTTGAATTCTTTAGTGGCAAAAGACATAAAATGCAGCAACTTTTAAAATATTTGTCAGTGGGTATATGCTCTTGCCAGAGAGAGAGAGAGAAGGGAGGAGGGAGGAAGAGACAGAAAGCACACTCGCATGAGGCATGGCCATGCCACATCCTCCCTCTCTCCTCCACCCTTCCCTCCCTTCAGGATTTCAGGCACACATACACACACGCTCAGTGTGCTTTTCAAGCTGGGACTCCAACTGCGTGTGGTTGGCCATGTGGGATCCAGCTCCCTGAACCACCAAGCCGCAGGCTGGCCCAAAATATTTCAATTCATTTTCATTTTATTCTGTTAGGTTGTCTGGAAAGGCATGACATATTTTTCTACACAAAAATGCCTCATGACTTTCCCAACTACCCAATTGTAGGAAGTACCTCTTACATGTTTTTATTTCACAACGGCAATTCACCTTCATTTATTTTAATTACATCCATCAAACACGTAAAGAATTCCACTGGTAGCACACGCTTACCCAGGCTACTCTGAGATGTTAAGCAATCGATATCATTGTAAAGTTAATAATCACAGTGAATATTCACTAAGTCCTCTGTAAATTACATCTGAACAGAATAAAGATAAATGCTGCTAGAAATCTAGATGATTTTAACACGAAGTTTTATGTCAAAGAAAATGAATGTTGAGAATGGGAATATAAACTGTACATCACTGATAACCACCAAGTGGTTATTCAGTAAAAATGAAAATCCCACCCACTTACCAACTAAACACCTACTAGCATGAGTAAAGGCAGAGGCAAAAGTTAACCACTAGGGAAATTGCTGATGGAAAGATGCCATTAAACAATTTTATGCTGAGTGATTCTCTCCCCTCTATCTCAAAGGGAAGAAGAAACTCAGTAAGGAAACACGCTAGCTGTAGGGCTAGGAAAAGATAACAAAGCACCCTCTGTGCAGGGAGCTGGCCCTGTGGCCTCTCCGGCACCCAAAGACAGTGTGCACAGGTTGAGAGGTCTGTTCTGCTAAAACGTGTGGCAAGGCAAATTTGACATTTGCAAATAGCCAGAATGCTAGTGAGGAATGTACGTGGTCATGCTGCCGTGCTGTTTCAAACATCCCATGCTGGTATCGGCTAGCTCCTTTGATATCTTAAGGACAGAAACACGAGGTACAACAGTTCTCATTGAAGTAATCTGAAGATAAATGAGATAACATACATGAAAAGGAAAAGCTTCCTAACAGAGAACTGCATTTACCCTTAACTTTCACAATGTAGGCAGACCACATTCATGGGGAGCGGTGGTGTCCACGGCCCTGGGTGCCACTGTCCACCTCCAGGAAGTTCCCCAGGATCAGGGAGAAAATGGACTACAGCCATGAATATTGATCCTGTCAGACTAACACAGTATAAAGTGGTGACCTACAACTAAGTGAACTGAAGAAAAATGTCTCCAGGCAAAACCACCAAAGAAGTCTCAGCTCGGTGAAGGTTCTGAGACGGTGGAAACACTGCACATGCTTCTTGCTTTCTCCCCAAAGTTCCTCGGCAGCTGTTCCTTGCACCCAGCCGTACATGAGCTAGCCATGCCTTTTCACTGGTTTGACCACTTGGTGAGGTGCCTTTGTATTAGAGGGGAACTCCCCCCAAGTATTGCCTGAACTGTCTCCTTGTTTCCCAACAGTGATAAGGCTGTCAAATTCCACTCACATAGTTTATCCAAAAGTTCTATTTTCTGCCTACTTTCTTAGCACTCTTCACATACATCATCATTCCTAGATGGGTTTTGCTGCTATCACAAGATAAATAGTACAGAAGGCAGGTAGCAGGCTCGCTGGGTTGCTACTGTACATCAATCCCATCACTGTCTCTACAGAGAGGCCTTGGGGCTCCATTCACATGGATGTATCAGAAAATTTACAAACTGGAATTTTACAGAGGTTTAGGATTGCTCACGAGTATCTTGAATAATGAATGTTCACTTCACAAATGGCAAGACACTACTTTACACACAAAAAATGCCTGCAAAATAAGCGATTTCCAAATGTAGGTCTGGCCTCCTGCAAAAAGGAAGTAAAATTATTCTTTCCTGGGAGTTCTGTATCAACTGAAAAATATGATGAAGGATCAGCAGACGGCGTAATGGTTACACTGCTGGCCTCCCACATAGTCAACCATGGTTCGAGTCCCAGACTCCATGGCTTAAACTCATGCTGGGCATGTGTATGTGTGTGCATGCCTGTCCAAAATCCCAAGGCGAGAATGGAGGAGAAAGGACTGTGACCTGGCTGTCCTCCCCGGCAAGTGATTTCTCACTTTCTATCTGACTGGGGAGGGCTTCTACCACTTCCTGAAATGACAAGAATGGCTTGTCATGCCTAAACTGTGTACAAACAATGCAGTTCATTCTGAAAACCTGCCTTCTGTCTGGGAGTCCAGAATGTGGGACAGGTTAGGCAGAGGGTATCTAGTTCTATTTTCTGCCTACTTTCTTAGCACTCTTCACATACATCATCATTCCTAGATGGGTTTTGCTGCTATCACAAGATAAATAGTACAGAAGGCAGGTAGCAGGCTCGCTGGGTTGCTACTGTACATCAATCCCATCACTGTCTCTACAGAGAGGCCTTGGGGCTCCATTCACATGGATGTATCAGAAAATTTACAAACTGGAATTTTACAGAGGTTTAGGATTGCTCACGAGTATCTTGAATAATGAATGTTCACTTCACAAATGGCAAGACACTACTTTACACACAAAAAATGCCTGCAAAATAAGCGATTTCCAAATGTAGGTCTGGCCTCCTGCAAAAAGGAAGTAAAATTATTCTTTCCTGGGAGTTCTGTATCAACTGAAAAATATGATGAAGGATCAGCAGACGGCGTAATGGTTACACTGCTGGCCTCCCACATAGTCAACCATGGTTCGAGTCCCAGACTCCATGGCTTAAACTCATGCTGGGCATGTGTATGTGTGTGCATGCCTGTCCAAAATCCCAAGGCGAGAATGGAGGAGAAAGGACTGTGACCTGGCTGTCCTCCCCGGCAAGTGATTTCTCACTTTCTATCTGACTGGGGAGGGCTTCTACCACTTCCTGAAATGACAAGAATGGCTTGTCATGCCTAAACTGTGTACAAACAATGCAGTTCATTCTGAAAACCTGCCTTCTGTCTGGGAGTCCAGAATGTGGGGACAGGTTAGGCAGAGGGTATCTGTGTGAGTAGCCCCAGTAAAAACCCTGGGCAGTGAAATATAGTAAGCTTTCCTGACAGAGAGTATTTCACACGTGCTGCAATTTGTTACTGGACAATGAAGCATGTCCTCATGGCCACTTGGGAGAGGACTCTTGGAAACTTGGGCCAGGCTCTCTCCAGACTTTGCCCCCAGGTCCTTTTCCATTGCTGACTTTGCTTTGTATCCTTTCAGTCTAACAAATCACAGCTGTGAATCCTCCCAGAGAAAACCAAAACTGGTTTGGGAATCCCTGACACATGTCCCTATGCCACCTAACTATAGTTTTCTAACAAGATGACTTTCTTAATGACTTCTAAAGTTTTCTGATCTGCTTGCACAGAGCTTAAAGGATTATTTTACTATTTTTTTTAGATCTTTTCTATTTAACTGAAGTCAGTTTCATATTTCCAAAAGGAGTTTAAAACCATGGAAAACAGCAAATATTTTGAGCAATAAGTTAACTACACAGTAGGTATCAAATGCCCCATTGCTTTAAGGCCAGCATAACTAATACATTTGTATATAGCAAAAAATTGGAAGATAGAAGCTTTCTATTCTATTTAGGTGGATCATGAGTTTGTTGTATATATTTTAATCCTTACTACTGGTCTTAACTAGCCAGGTGGTTAAAAATTTGTGGTGGATAACTTATTTTAGCAGAGAATCTTCTTGAAAATAAGTAATTATCCTATAAATCAAAATATAGGAATGAGATCAAGTTATCCTGAAAGACAGTCTAACGCTTTATAAAGGCAAACTGGAGAAGAATATAAAGTGGGGACTAGAGATAGCAGTTTCTGGTTCTACTCCAGCCTTTGCTGGGAGAGGAAGCACATCTGACCATATAGTCACTCCATCCAACCAAGTCGTGCCTCTGCCCTCGAAGCACAGAAAGCAACGAGGAGACTTGACATTCTAGCCTCAGTTCTAAATTAACAGGGAAGAATCAGCTGAAAAGTAAAAGTATTGGAAACTTCGGGGGGGAAAAAAAATCACCATTATTTCCTCAATAGCCTGAAGAATAAGAAATGCTAGGTACAGACAGCCCTGTAACTTAGACTTTAAAGAGAGCACAGTACAAAAAACTAAGATTAGAAATTTCTATGGAGAGGCTCTTAACCTCAGTTCTAAATTAACAGGGAAGAATCAGCTGAAAAGTAAAAGTATTGGAAACTTCGGGGGGGAAAAAAAATCACCATTATTTCCTCAATAGCCTGAAGAATAAGAAATGCTAGGTACAGACAGCCCTGTAACTTAGACTTTAAAGAGAGCACAGTACAAAAAACTAAGATTAGAAATTTCTATGGAGAGGCTCTTAACAAACCCAGTACAAAAAACTAAGATTAGAAATTTCTATGAAGAGGCTCTTAAACCCACAGGCCCGACCACAGTGGAGTAAGTGGAAGGGTGCCACTCCTCAATGGTTGAGGTGACACTGGAGGCTGGCTTCAGATCCCCACCCATCCTGAATAGGTCAGGCATGGTGATGTGCCCCCGTGGTCCTAGCCTGTTAGAAGTCTGGGCAGAGACATGATGAGACCTTGTCAAAAGCACCTCTCCCTCTTTTTCTCCTTTCCGCGTGTACTCTTTCATTAAAAATAATAAATAAATCA